CGCAGCGGCAGCTTCGGGCGCGCGCGCCGGCTGAGGCTCGGGCGGTGAAGATGGCATGCTGCTCTGAGTCATGAAAGGCATGATGGTGCCAGGTGCCAAGTTGCCGTAATTGGGAGGGCCACCGTAGGGCATCATGGCCATCGGGTTGCCAAAGTTCGAGAGGCCGCCGTAGGGCATCATGGGGAAAGGTGTGAAGGATGCCGTCTGCGAGTTGGGTGACGGTACAAGGTTCATGGGCTGCGTCATCTGGGATGACAGCTGCAAGTTCGGTCCACAATTGCCTGGTGAGCCGGACGCGGTGCCGGTCGCAATGCTATGCAGGAGCGAATGCATCATGTCATAGAGCTGGTGTCCAGCCATCTCGCAAGGGAGAGAGAAGGTTGGAAAGGGGTGAAAACAAAACCACAACTGCGGCAAAAATGCGTCAATGGTGCAAATGCATGCGAGCCAACTTCAACCTGCGAATCGAAACCAAACAGAGGGAATTCCACCAGGGGACCGCCAAAACCCCGCGGCAACGGCAAAAGTTTCCACAGAAATGCATGCGAGCACAAAGGGGTTCTCAGAGGTGCCTGTCAAGTGGCCTCATGAAAGTGCCTCATGTGGCTATGCCGATGAATCTGAACTGAACTCATCCGAGACGAAAGCTTCCATAAACGCCACGAATCGCAGAGTTGGTGTATGACCAACTCGTCACTGGCGCATGAAGCTTAGGAGCCTGAAACCTCGTGGGTGCAGCCTTGCTTCAAAGGCAGGCAGTGCAGGCAGTGCAGGCGCATGAAACCAGCAGAGCACCATTTGGGTGCGGAATACCTTAAGACCTCAAGCTGCAGCCTTGATCGTGGTCAAACGCGCTGAACTGAACTGCAGCTTGAACTTGAACACTTGAACGGTCTTCCCCTCGCAGGGGGCTCCCGCATATGGCGAGTCCAGCCCACAGCGCCATGTCGGACAGGCCGTGGGTAAACACACTTATCTCGAGAGGCTTCACTAGCCGAGATGCAAAACGCAGTCAGTAAA